ACTATCTAATTTCTTAAATATATTTATATAAACTTCTAAAATCTGAATTATAAAAGAATAGAAGAGAAAAAATATTATTTTTTTAATTAATAATTATAACTATTTTTTATAAATATATATTATAAAATTCTAAAAAATTAAAAATATTCAGAAATAATTAGATATTTCGCTCTAATATATAGAATATTAAGCAGAAAAGATATTTATAATAATCTAAATCAATAATATAAAGAAGTTTATTATCTTAATTTTTTAAGATTAATTTAAAAATATTAAGTTTAAATTTATTAAAGCAGAGATATCAGCTTAAAATAATATTATTAAATAATTTAATTAGATTATTCTGAAGATTATATATATTTTACTAATTAAATTAAAGATTAGTTAAATATATTAAAAATAGATTATAAATATAGCCAACTATCTGAGAAATTATATAATTATTATAAAGAATTTAAAGAAAATTTATAAGAAATTATTATTAAAGACTTTATTTAAACTCTAGTTTAATTATTTATTTAATATTCAATATCTGCGAATTTAGAGATGCAGAGTATTATATTATTATAAAAATATAAATAAATTAGAAAGCTATATATCTAAAGAAATATTTCTAAGATATAAGAAGAGTAATAAATAATATATTATTATATTAAAAAATAATAATATAATAAAATTTATTATAAATTAGAAATCCTAAATTTTATAAAAAAGAGTTAGAATACTATTCAGATATTAATTAAATATTTTATAATTTATTTAAAGAATAATAATTATTTTATATTTTATTAAATAGTTTTACTTCTTTGAATAGTCTCTAATTTATAGACTTAAACTTTAAATTTATTATAAATCTTTAATTAATAATCACAGACTCAAGTATAAGTTTATTAAAGAAGAAAATTAGATTAATAATTAAATTAATTAATTCTATATTTATAAAGCAATCAGCTGCTGCAGCTGATAAAAATAATCTTATTATTAATAATATAATTAATAAGAACAGTTCTATTGCTTTAAATAATAATATTAAAAATAAAAAAGAAATTACTACTTCTAAGAATAAATTTTTTAAGAAAAAAAAATAATTAAAGATTAAATTATTTTAATCTAGATATAGTAAATATCTATAATAATTATTTATAAAATTCTTAAAAAGTTAACAGTCTAAAGAAATAAATAAAAACTTAAGAACAAATATTAAATATTTTATTATAAAAAAAATATAAATAATTATTTAATATAATATATTAAGATCTTTCTTATTCTTATCTCTGAACTTTGAAAAGAAGATTATAAATATAAAATAATAAAAGAAATTCTTATAAAGTCAGATATTTAAATATCTAGATTATATAATAAAATAATTAATAATCAGATCTATAAATCTAAATAAATTAAAATTATATAAAAAAAATTTATTATATTAATTAGCTTTAAAACTTAAAGAATTATTTTTTAAAAAAAAGCAGAAGAAACTATCTTCTTTATATATTAGATTTTTAATATTAAAACTAGTACTGATAGAAGAATTAATTAATTTAAAATAAGATTAATAATTAAAAAAAAATAATTAGAAAATAATTTTAACAAAATATTTATTTTAATATTTTATCTGAATAGTCTTAGAATTATTATAATAATATTAATAAAATTAAGATATAAAATTTATTTTCTAAATATATTAAATATTTTTATTAATTCAGAGCTAGATAAGTCTAATTATATAAAGATATCTTAAGAACTTTAAGAATTTAATTATAAAATAACTAAAGATATAATACTAAAGCTGAGAAAATTTCTATATAAATTTAGATAATTAGCTAATCTTTAAAATTAGAAAATAATTAATTTTTTAAAAAGATTAGATTTAAATTAATTACTGCCGATCTAAGTATTTTTATTAATATATAAAAAATAATTATTATTTTATATATTAATAATATTCTTATTTTTAATTATAAAGAAACAGAAATTTATAATATTAAAAAAAAGTTAAAAAAGTTCTACTTAATAATTAATTTTAGCTTAATTTAAAAGCTTCTAGATATTAAATTTATTTAAAAAAAATTAATTAAAATAAATTAAAAAGTCTATATTAGATAAATTTTTAATAAATTTAAAATAATAGATTATAAGTCTATTAATATTCTAATAAAACTAAGTATCTAACTTAATACTAATAATTTATAATTAGATAAAAAGAATTATAAAATATTTAGAATAATAATCAGAAAATTAATATTCTTAATATATAGAATATAATCAGATATTATATTCTTAGTTAATTAATTATTTTAATATTTAATTAATTTAAGCTAGATTTATTTATTTACTGTAAAATATATTTTAAGATATTTTAAAATTATAAAAAGCTATAGAATAATATTTTTTATTAAAAAAAATAAAAAAAAATCTTTTTAATATATATTAATTTAATATATATTAATATAAGATTAAAAAGATTAACTATTAAATATATAATAATAATTAATAATTTATTTATTTATTAAATTAATAAAAAGTAAATTATTACTACTCAGAGCTTTATTAAAGTAGAATATATTATTATTACTAAAATAATTAAATAAATAATCTAATATAGATATTTCTTATATATAATCAGAAAGAATACTATATATTAAGATATTTTTATTATATTATATAAAAATAATCAGAGAGCTATTAAGATTATAAAGAATCTAATAAATTATTAATAAATAAAATATATATTTATCTAATATTATATTATTTATAATTATATTATAAATAAAATGATTTAAATTATTTATTTATTTATAAAAAATATAATAATAAGTAAGTTAATTAAAGTAATTATATAGATTAGTTAGATATATTTTATTAAAAATTTAAGACTTAACTAGATAAATAAAAAAATCAGCTTTAATATATTAATATATTTAAATCTTTTTAAATATTTAATATATTTTTAATTTATACTTATTTTAATCATTTTAATTTAAAAGATTAATTATATTTTAAATAAAAAAAAATAATATAATATAACTAGATTTATAGATAAAAGATTATTTTATTTTTAATTTACTAAAAATAAAATATAATTATTTTATCCCGGCTGAGTAAGTATATAAATAAATAAATTCTTAAAAAAAATCTATTAATAAATATTAGATAGAAATCTCTAAGTACTCAGAATATTAATATTATAATACTTAGAAATATTTATTCTATTTATTATTAGCATCCTGCACCTGCGTCTTAGGCTGTGTATAAGTAAAGCATCCGGAAGCCTTTATATCCCTGAGGATCCACTTTAGTAACCAGTTGCATCATATCACACGATGACGGCATTAGTCAATCAACATCAGAGAAGCACTAGGGCTACAGATAAAAAGGTCTCATCTTACCATAGCATTTCCTGAACGATTTGGAGCCATAATATCCAAAGAACTAGCTGTTAACAGTGTACCGGTGCTGTTTTACAATGAAGTCCTGCCATCGGATAAGCCAATGCAGTCGAATACAACAACCATGAGGCCAAAGACATGTGCTGGCGGCGAATCTATATCCGATGAGAACAACAGCATTTCATCATATAAGGAAAGTCCCGTGAATAATCAGGCAAACGCACAGGGCAAAATCCACCCATTGTCACCGAGAACCGAAAGTTCTTCAGGTCCAGAGGTAGATTTGGACCCTTGATCTTGAAACACGGGCCTTAAATACTACCAATCTAACTGGCCATTATCCAGCGACCCAAGTAAGAAGTCACACCAACGGGTATTCAAAATGTAGAAAGGTGCCAAATGCATTCGAATCAAGATGCAATATCACAAACCCCCCTGTACATTATTCTTCAGCTGCCGTGAAAGAAAAATTGCTAAGAATTACTTTGGACAAATCTGCAACAGATTGATATATTCAAAGGGATCATGAGAATTACAAGACATCGCCTCTCGCAAAATATTTAGCAGTGAACAAGACATGGAAAACTTCTATGGATGCTACAATCACATCATCTTTACAAAGCTCCGATGGTACGGAGCAGGCCGCATTGTTGATGCCGAAAAAAAGGGGGTTACATTCTCAGCCTGCTCGTCGGTTTTCCAGGGGAGACTCCAAACGGCGAAGGCAGATAAATCGTCTAACGGGGAATCACAAGGACGCACCATGTTTGGGTATGCGTAGCTCAGGAACTGGCACCAGTCAGAGTTAGAGAGTACTTTTTCTGGGTCAGGTCCATGGCAGGAGGCGATGATTCCAGTGTCAAAGCCGCCAGAACAATCGCTAGTCAGGAGGGCAGGTTCAAGGTTCTATAATTTGATAAGTCACAACCCTAAAAACTACCATCAGAAGTATGACGTGTCCAATATACATCAGGAACCCCCCGCCGAATTTCTCAGATTACTTCTCAGTCGTTGACGCTTGAACCGGATTTCAAGGAACTACAATTCAGTTGCTCTAGCTTATCGTCGGCACGCTTTCCCACGAACCACGTCCAGAAGACTACAACACCGCAGATGAGGCTCATTCAACTGTTTCGCTTTCTCGTCATGACGGTGTTGATTCAATCGGGAGCTCAGGAAATGATATTCTATCGAAATATGCGGCTGGGATTCATGGTTGTGATGTGTTGTTTCTTCTGGTAACCTCGTTTAGTACAATTTCTCAGCCGCCGAAGTCTCGTATGAGTAAAGACATCACGCTATGCGATTGCTCTCGAGTAAATCGGTCAATTGGAAAGAACTTTGTCATTTGCTGCCAGTGTAGACGCTGGTATGATATGCCATCAGAAGCGGATGCAAACCCGAAATTGTCTTGGCCTTGCCCCTTTTTAAAATCTACGGAACAGAAGCCCTCTTTTGTCTCTAACTACAAGCAGCAGGCCACCTTAACAGCACCGAAATCTAATCTGCCACATAGCGGACCGCCTACTTCACCCATGAAGACTCGGTCCAGTCTATCCTCTACGGTGTGATGCTGTTGGTGCAGACATGATATGACTAGATTATGTTATCAAAGATGGGCAGCAGTTGTTCACATGTGTCAAAGGCACCATTAAAGGTTGCGAGCAGGGGGAAGCTGATGCCATTGCATAAGCGCGTTACCCCTCCAAAGATTGCTGTTATTTCTTAGATTTTTTTGATGTGCCTACTGTGTCTGCTTGCATTAGCTCTAGCGTTCGCCATACCTACTGTTCTTTTAGGTCAATCAAGGGCTTTGCCTGACATTTTTACCAATTTTCTCTGGAGCAGAAAGAGAGGAGAGTGTGTCTAAGCGCGTGTCTAATGTTAGGGGTCCCACGAAAGGGGGCAAATTGCAAAGATCGGCCTCAAAACCTGCACGGGTTGTTTTCACAGTGATCTGTAGAAAGACTAACACTGGCAATGATATTGTTATCAGAAATGTGATGTCGGTCCACGGCGGTACCCTGCTAAAATATTCGATAGGTGCCGCCGGAAGAATGATAGTCTTCGAGTTAGTCGTGATCCTAAGGCGTCCGTTTGGCCCGAACCCGCATGAACACATGATGAGGAACTCTCCAATCGCCAGCGTACCGTCACCAATCCACGCCCCCTTTTTCAGCTGTCAGTTTCACATCCCTCTCCTCTTCCATTCCGGACAACCAGCGGGTCTTTAGATGGCTCGTGTTTGGCGCCATGGTGCGTCAAAGGAGCCTTTCAAATGCATCTTCAGCCTCTTCTTTTCCCGAGAGAAACCAGGTACGTGGTTTTGCTGGTGTTTGTCGCTTTCAGCACTCAGTGTGTTGAGTACAGTGTTATCTAGGTCGCTACTTCTAATGCCTGGTAGGAGCTTGAGAGCATGTATGACTATCTGGCCAAGATAATTCTTCTAGGGCCAAGCGGGGCGGGAAAGTAAGTCGTTCAGAGGTCAATGATACTCCTCGCGCCCTGAGGCCCCATCGCTCACCCATCCTTCCTCGGCCGCAGGTCTTGCGTACTGCACAGATTCGTGAAAAATGAATGTATGGTTTAGAATCCTGTCTGATATTTATGTATATTCCTGTCCACATACCATTATCTCCCTGACCTACCGGTCTTTGTCGAGTCTGATAGCTCGTCGCTAATACATCACGGACTTCCAGGGCGAGTGTTGTCATCTCAGACAATCGGCGTCGAATTTTCATCTAAGATCGTCAAATTGGGTGCCGGGCCTCGTCGAACAAGAATCAAATTGCAACTGTGGGATACCGCGGGCACTGAGAGGTTTCGGTCTGTTTCCAGGTCTTATTACCGAGGAGCTGCTGGGGCCATTCTCATCTACGATATAACATCCCATGCGTCATTCGCATCACTTCCAACATTCCTCATGGATGCGCGCGCTCTTGCTTCCCCGAACCTCAGCGTCTTATTAGCTGGCAACAAGTCAGATCTTGCTTCCGACGGCTTGCCCCTTAATGATATCCTTGACAACGGCATCAGGCCTCCTCCTACGCCGTCTAGTACATCAAGCAAACATTCTTCTTTTCCGTTCGAGTCGAGCGCCGGTTCTGTTCCTTCGACAGCAAATTTCGACACTACCACCAGAATGACAGCCACGCATACAACTTATGGCCGCGAAGTCAGTCCTGAAGAAACGTCGCACTGGGCCTCCAAGTCCAATATCCCGGTTGCTGTCGAAATATCAGCTTTAACAGGTGATGGTGTAGAAGAAATTTTTAACCGGCTGGCCCGGATAATTGTCACTAAAATCGAACTGGGTGAGATTGACCCCGACGATCCGCAGAGCGGGATTCAGTATGGCGACGGCGGTCTCTACGGCCATAGCACAAGTGATGGATCTAGTATCAGAAGTCGCATGACACTTGATGACGGTGCTGTCCAACTGCATCGTAGGAATCCAAGAAAGAACGCGAGTAACAATTGGAAAGTTGGTATGAGAGAATGGGAGGACGTTTTTCGGTTAAGTGACTCGCATCAAGGGAAAGGCGGCGGCTGTTGTTGATCTCTTGGGCCTGACCAAGTACTAACTAGCAGGCTCTTCGAATTTCTAACTGTGTCCGTCTTCAGCTATTTGCCTCCCTCATGATTCGGTTGTGCGAGCTTCTTGTACCTCGATTTTATAATAGAACGGGTTGTCTATAGCACGGACTAATACCCAAAAGGCCCCGGCCTCTCTTACATCCTCGGCATTTGCTTTATCGCTTTCCGTTTACACGGTTAGTTGAGCCTAGTGGGATGGCTGCATACAACGCAATACCCCTATGGATTTTCTTGATGTCTGTGAATGGTTTATTTGAGCGGAGGAGTGCAAGGTACTTCTGTTTTGTAATTAAGTGATTTTATTTGCTCTTGTTCCATACATTATCTAAGTGGGATGGCGTCGCCATTATCAGTTACCGCATGGAAGTACCAGCTACTGACTACCATATTAACACTGGAATTAAAGGCTTAATTCCACATCGATTATTTAAGTGCCTATCTGTTGAATCGGCCTTGCTTTTATGAAAAGAAAACAAGGAATGAGTCAAATTAAAAGTTTCAAGAGAAAAAAACCAATATTCACATCAGAGCAATCATTGTTGACAGTGTTCACAATCCGAAGGGGCCTGGAGAAGTGTCAGGAATCCCAGCAATCAGTGTCTTGATGCCCTTCCCAGCCTTAACCCCTTCGAATGCTCGCTCAGCATCCTCAAAGTTCACGATGCCAGTAATTAGTTCCTTCACGTCTATTTTGCCAGAAGCAACCAGAGATACTGCAAGCTTGTAGTCACCGCTGCCATAACGGAAGCTACCCTTGATGTTCAATTCCTTGGTGCAAGCCGCCATAATTGGAAAAGTGATCTCGCTCCTACCCATGCCACCCTGCACATATGTCCCACCAGCACGGAGGACATGTATCCCTGTATGGACCGAAGCTTCCGCTCCTGATGCGTCAATGACGATATCTGCACCCGGTCCCAAATTATTTTCCTCTATTATCCGAACAGCATTCGCGGAAGGGGCCTCTTTGGCGGGCTCGAATATGGCAGTTGCTGCATACTTCTTTGCAAACTCCAACCTATCCTTTTGAATATCCACGGCGATGATTTTGGATGCACCATAAGCTCTGGCCACGGCACAGCACAAAAGTCCGACGGGGCCGGCTCCAAATACCACCACTGATTGGCCTGGGTTGACAACAGCCTGTCTGACAATGTGTACAGCGACTCCAAGTGGCTCCATAACTGCCGCCTCTTGCATAGTAATGTTTTCGGGTATTTTATAGCAGAAGTCCTCTGGTAGGACATAGTACTTGGCAAGGGTGCCATCGTAGGGAGGGGTTGCTGCGAAAGCCATCTTCTCGCAGAGGTTGTATTTTCCTGCTTTGCAAGGCTCGCATCGGCGACATGGGACACCAGGTTCCATGGCAACACGATCTCCTACCTTCAAGCCGGTGACTGCCGAACCGACTTTGCAAATTACTCCAGAAGATTCATGTCCCAATACCATGGGGTCCTTCACAACAAACTGTCCAATGGAGCCATGTTCCCAATAGTGGACCTTGGGTACGAGAGATTCCAGGTGTCAGTCGGGTAGGCGAAATATTTTCTTTTGCCCGTTTTTGGGGATACGCACATCGCTGCCGCATATGCCAGTGAACCTGACATTAACGAGCACATCATGAGAGTCTTTTATTTCGGGAACGGGTCGGTCCTCAAATTTGACCTGGCGAATGCCTTCCAGAACAAATGAAAGATTCTAGCAATGATGAGGAATCGAGCTTTAGTAAGCAATCGTATTTCCACCACACACTAGGCCAGTGGCAGAGTCAGGCGCCACCGGATGGGTACGGATTCGTTATACGGACCTGGGCAGTGGAATTCTGGGCACTCATGATTTCTGGTCACCACTAATGATGATTGTCAAGATATGGGGGAGGATGTTTGTATTGAAATATAAGTAAAGGAAATGGATATATTTGTGATGCAGCAGGGTTCGTCTTCCTATTTAACTGGTCTGTTACTCGGCTTTGTGAGATACGTATTTTGGGCCAGATATGCTTCGATATAAGACCACATTCACACAGGGTAAAATAAAGTCAACTACCTGGTACCGAGATAGGCAGTGTACTCCGCAGTCGCAGCCTAGAAAGTAGGTTTAGTGGTTTCATGGGGTAAAAAGGCGGGGTAAGAGCACTACCATTGGTCCACAATTAACCGGGAAGGCGCCTTATTTAACCGGATGAGTCGCAAATTGATGCTCTGTCTGTATGAAGCATATTATTTGCGGAGCAAAGCTGTACAACAGTACTTAGTTTTAATTCTTTTTCTGTCATGTTGCCATCCCCTAGACCACCCACTTGTTTGAATGATTTACTTACAGAGTAAGGCTCCTATATTCTCACCTATCTATCTGTATAATGCAAGAGCTTTACTCTGTAGTATAAATATTTTATATACTGCTTAAAGTAGTAATATTTTTTCCCGCAGCCAGCTAACGAGAGCGCTATTATATAAATCAGCTCCAAGCGCTGGCTAATTACCATAGAGATTTGGTCCCCGCTTTTTCCTACTTCCTTACCTGTAGATATTGCAGAACTTCACTCTGCAATCACATGATTGGCACCTTCCCATTATAGCTTCTGATTACTATAACTCAAGGCTGCCTGAGAGTTCAATAAGGGAGTTGCAGGCCTCCGCTAACAATTCCTAATGTGTTAGATTAACCATAGTGACTGCCATCAATTTTGAAAAGTTTGCTGGGAATGGGTGTCTGCTTTGAATGCTGGAGAATAAAAGACAAGAGATATACTAAATAAATTATAAATGTTAGGGCATTGTTAGTAAATCATATATGCTCCTCTACAGTAACTAGAATTCATGGTTTCAAAAATTAGTACAAAGTGTACTATATAACTGGCATGGCTACCATGTCTTGACTTCCCCCGCAACTGCCGGTTCAACCCGAACAACTTTGTCACAATTAAGTAAGCAAAGAGGATCAAAGGCCAGTTTAAGCTGCAAAAAATAAATTATTGCATATCAGTAAGACAGGCTCCCTGGTGATAAAAGTTCCGGTGTGCAACTACTTACCCGTCGCATTGCATCTACCGTAGATTCCCCCAATTCATATTGCAGATAATCTCGCTTAATAAGGCCAACTCCATGTTCACCTGTGACTGTACCTTCTAATTCAATTGCGCGTTTTACCATGCGGTGAACCACAGCCTCTGCTGTCCCCTTTTCATCTTCATTGAAAAGGATGATAGCTAATGTAGGTTAGGGAAGGCATCCTGTAGTATTGATAGAAGGACCTCCTTACCATGAAAATTTCCATCTCCAACATGACCACAAATGCCTGCCAACAAGCCACTTTCAGTCATATCTTGTTTGGTGGCTTCAATGATTTCAGGTAACTTGCTCATAGGCACAGCTACATCAGTTGTCCAAACATGATCTTCAGGCCCTCGTCTCATAGACATAACACTCCAGAGCGCTTGTTTCCGGGCACTCCAGAGTTCCTGCATTTCATTCTCACCGCGAGCAAACTCGAAGGAACGACCAGCACTGTCCGAAACGATTTTCTGCACTGTACTAATCTGTTCCTTGACACCTAAAGGAGTACCAGCGAACTTGAAAAAAATAGTAGGGGATTCTTTCCAATGTCGGGTGGTAGCCTGGCTGTCATTAATGCATTTCATTTGCACGTCATCCAAAATCTCCACACCGGCTACAGGAATGCCCTCTTCAACCACGCGTGTAACACACTCTGCCGCACTCTGTATTGTGGTAAAGCTAGCAACAGCAACACTTTGGCTTTTAGGTTTGACTGTCAATTTCAATGTAGCTTCAGTCACCAGCCCGAGCGTGCCCTCGCTACCAATGAAAAGCCTGGTGAGATCATAACCAGCACTGGATTTCCGTGGGCGCTGTCGTGTTTTAATAATAGTTCCGTCGGCAAGCACGACTGTCAAAGAAAGCACCCAATCACGCATGGTCCCATACCTATAGGCGTTGGTCCCCGAACAGCCAGTGCCTATCATGCCGCCAATCATTGCTCCAGGGCCGGGATCGGGTGGGAAGAATAGACCATCTTGAGAAAGACGCTCGTTCAATTCCTCCCAACCAGTTGCAGGCTGCACCACGATATCAAGATCGCGCTTGTGGAGCTCCAAAATGCGATCCATGCGACGGAAATCGATACAGACTCCACCTCTGGTCGGCGCAAAATGGCCTTCTAAGCTGGTACCACCAGAATATGGCGTCACTGGAATTAACCGTCGATGGCAGATTTTCATTATGCGGGAAACCTCGTCTGTAGTGGACGGGTACAGAACAAGAAAGGGTCGTTCATCCGCCTTACGCGTGTAGGAGGACCAATCAGACCCCGAATGCATTTCCAAATCCGCATTTTCAGTGGAAACATGGTCTTTCCCCAGAATTTCCACAAAGTCTGCCCAGGCGGCTTGAAGATTTGAGGAGGAAATATTGTGTCGCGGGCGCTCAGTATCAAGCAATGATGTTATGGACGAAGTGGGAAGGTCTGCGGGTTTTAACGTGCCTAGAAAATAAGCCCCGGTAGAGAAGAAGGCCAGGGCTAACATAATGGCATCAGAAATAGAACCTCATCAAGGTCTGGATGGGTGTAAAGACTGGTTCTTAGCTAATAGGCATACCGAACATTAGTGCCGCATAGCGGCCACCCTGTGACTGGGTTTGATACTGTGAATATCGTTTCTGTTCAGCACGCTCACGTTTAAGGCGTTGTTGTGTGCTTTCATATAGCTGGTGCTTGAAGGGCTGGGGTTTCTCATCACCATAAAGCTGCACTGAAGCACAAAACCCTCTTTTGAGGGGTATTGGAGGTGGCGGTCGGCGGAAGCGACAACCCATTCTTTGGTGCAGCGCCGAACGCACTGCTCCCTGACATGCAGGGAAAGAACAGGATCTGATCATGATGCTTGAATTTGGGGGACAAGGATGGCAAGAGCGAGGTGTTAAGGTTGGGTCATTGCGGAGAGCTCAGAAATTGGGGGATGCTAATGACTTTCTTGGGCAGTGGGCAACAGTGGATGGATGGGTGAGGAAACTGGTTTCCAGTGATGGCTAGAGACCTTACACCATCGTACCGAGCAGACTCCTCAAATATCTGAAATCTCCGGCTCCCGAGCTCAGAACATCAATCATCGCCTAGTTAACCTTACTAGCGCAGTCTAACTGAGCTAGCATACACTCAGACAGGTTCAATTGACTACAGTAGGTTAGCTATGCATATGCTAACTTGTCATGGTCTGGGATGACAATGATCTCTCTTATTTTAGGGTCGCGCTCGACCAACATCCCCCTTCCTCCCTTCATACTCGACCGACAACCCCTTTGATTCGCCCGCCGCCCTCCCGGCCCAAAGTAGCTTAGCCTCTGGTAAAGCTAAGTATATGAAGTATAGTAAATATGACAAGCCTTCTTCCTACACGGAGTATCTAGTCTACGGAGTATAATAATAGGGACCTTCTGCCATCGGTTTTCTCAAGTTCTTGTTTACGAGCTAGGTTTAGCGCAGGCTCTTTGGGAAGGCGGTCGGCTAATTAAGTCACCTGATATTATCCACTTCATCATATTATTACTATTAAGTTAATAAACCCTAACTAACTAGTTTACTAGTCTGCCCGTATTACTTTATCCTGCCTGCGTGGCTTCAACCTGCGTGGCTTTCATTTATATAGATTAGTATTATATAGCTTGGTATTATATGGCTTCGCTCTGCACGCCTTCTAGGCGACCTTGGTCGTCTAGTCCCTTATAAGAAAAATACATCACATAGGCAGGTCTTGTGGTGCTAGACCTAGTAGAGATCAAGAAGCTTGTATTTCGCAGCTATCGAGAGACAAGTCTGGCTAGCTCAGGTGACGCCATGGTGTCACGTGAGGCTCATTCCTTCCCTTTGGAGTAGGAGGGGGTCGCTCGAGCGGCCCCCGACCCTATATAACTACCAAAACCTTCCTATTACAGAATGCTACTGGGTGATAAGGCCTGCTGTAAGGTTTCACTGCTAAAGTATAGGGTCGCCCTCCTACACAATCCGTACACTACTCCGCACTCTGTGCACATATCTAGGTATTCCCATTCCGACCCCAGTGCACTAAATCCTGACCCCGGCCGAAATGGTCGCGTACTTTGCGACCACCGCCGACCTCACCGCTAAGATCCGCTGTCGGTCTGCTGCGGATACTAATAATCAATCCATGATAGATATACTACTACGGAGTGTATCTGCCAGTAGACCACTACTATCTATCTATCTATTATTATCGTGTCATCTGTTCTCTTAGCCTCCAGGCTTCTCCCTTAACCCAACCCCACTCAGTTGCCGCACCATCAACCTGCCTGGTGCTTGTCCCTCCCAGTATCCTCTATTTCTCTATTCCTTGCCCTTTCACCCTCCAAAGCGGAAACCTTCGAGGCTGAAATGCTTGCTGTCACTATCAAACATTATCTTAATTTATAAGCCTTACTCTGGCTCTGTTAGGTTGTGATCATACTCGCCTGGTATTCCCCGACAGCAGGTCAGAATATTGATTATCGCCATTGCGAATTCTTCACCGGTATCCTGTACCTATCGCCCAGAGCAATTGCTGTCCTGTTTACATACTACAGGGCTCCGGGCATGAAGAAGGTTGTATGCTCTCTCTAATATTTGGACCGGGCTCTAGCAATGATGTACCTTGTAAAGAACCACTAAGAGTTCTTCACTTTCGCCAGTGACGCAGTGCAACAAGATATTTATTTGTTTCTGTTGGATGTTTGGAGCTTTGCTTTGCTTAAGGTGGTACTGTTTACCCATTCTTCACGCACAAATCCTCCAAAGACATTTTCACAAATTAATGCTCGTTCAGTTTGCCTGAAGCTGTCTGCGTTTGAGAACCAGGCCGGGTCATGCTGTAATGAAATAAGGTACTCAAATATTTGCCTGCTGATTTCAACAACATTGATTGATATTTGTTTGCCCTCATTGACCGTACGGGAGACATCGTCGCCTGAAGCAGTGGGCATATCTGCTGTCAGACAAGGCCAGACCCGCCCCCTGGCCTTGCCTTGCCTTTACTCCGTGAACTGCCAGAAAGGCCCGGTCATTGATGGGTATGCCTGCTTTCAATATGTCTAACAATATTGATGGTTCCCACTACATGTTGAACGGGTCTTCGAGAACGAAAGCTCAGAGGCTGCCGTTACTAAGTAAGGCATTATATTGTGATTCACTCGGGGATCCAGAGGAATCTTCACGATCACGATCATCGATTGAACATGATGACCCGAGTATGTACGCAAAGCGAGAGAGGCTAGCAGCTCAGGATGGGCTATCCAACAACACTACGACCGCTCTTCATCGCCAATCCACAAGTCCAGTGACTCAAATTTACACAGGCCGGACTCCAAGCATATGTAAGCCGGGCTGTCAGTATGTTCATCCTATGCGTCTTGCCCCCCGTGCCTATACACACCCGCCAAATCAGTCATGCCAAACGCCTGTACTTGGAAGCGAAGGCTCTCAAAAGGGTCAGTCAGCAGGAAGCAATTCTCCGACGCAGTCACGGGCGGATCTCTATTGTCCGTCAATGTGGAGCTGCTCGGGTCAAACACCGCGGCTTTCATTGCAGATCCATGATGGTTCTCCAATGATGTCACCTGGGGCCTCACAGACCAATGTAACTAGCCGCTCCTCCTTCGGATACTCACAAGAGAATGGAAGCACTTTGGACACAACAAGCCCCGTATCCCGGTCATCTTTGGATTTTGTTTTCAGATCCAAGACACGAGCCAGCCCGGATCCTGTGGCTCGAGCAGCTACGGTACGGGCAGCACGTCAGGCATTTGAAGAAAGGGAGGCAGCCAAAACGTGGAGATTCAAAGCTCAACAGATAAAGTTTGAAGAGAAACAAACAAAGCAAAGAAGGAAGCAAGTAGGGCGGATGGGATCCATTGATGGCAATGTAACCCAGACAAGCCGGGAGGACGAGGTTCATGAGAAACCAAAGTCCTCGCCCTCACAATCAGAACCCAGGACGGGCATTTGGAAATCGCAACCCGGAAACACATGGGTCCTTTTTCTCACATGGCTACGTACCAGAATTTTCAAGATACGGAGAAAGATTCAGAAATTAGCCTAATACTTACTTGGGCATGTGGGGTTTTCCCATCTTGATAATATTCACGGATTTATGAATATCCATCTGGCCTCGTCTAATTTGAGTACATGTATATTTGAAATGATCACTTTAGGACTGCAAGCCACCGGCGCTCAGACGAAACTCCCAGTGCCAGTGGGTACCTTGTAAATGCTTGCTTATGTACATGTGCCAAACTTTAATTTAATAGTGCAAGGCGGCCATTAGAATGTGCAAACAGCCTTCTCTTGATACAGGAGCATGATGAATCTCACTAACGATTTACAGCAATAACATATAGGGGGGTGTAAAGTATTGTGTGCAAGACAAGTCAACCAGAAGCTATGCTGAAAGAGCATCGACCACGTGGCGAAAAATCATGTTGGCGGGGGCCATAACAGATGGTGGTGCGTCCCCAAATACACTGGCAAGTTCCCCCCGCAAACCCGGTGTGGCCAAGCTAAGTTCGACTGCGGTACGCTCCGAATCTTTGTGTCTAGTTCCTTGCCGACCAAACAAGTTTGCCAGACCCATGTTAAGGTGAGATATAAGGTCTGGAGAATGATTGCTTTGGAGATTCTTGCCCAGGCGGCCGAGACGCTGCACGTTAGCCCCAGAATCAACGACAACATAATCGCTTGAATGCAGGGTTGACAGCAATGCCACTGGGGGGCGAGCAAGAATGGTTTCGGAAAGCAAAGATAATGTAGCAATGTCATATACTTGTATGCTGGGCGTTGATGTGTGGCGATTGTCGAGCGAGTGCTGGCTTGCCGGATACTGTGCTGAAACAGCAAGAGATTGTGTCTCAGAGTTTACAGCCAACAGACGCGGCTGTTTGGCTGAGGCGCTACCCGGCACTGAGAGCCCAATGGTCCTGACAAGGTCATCCACTGTATCCCAAATGGACAATGATTCCGTCGAAGCAATAACAAGGCGGCTTCCCATGAATGCAGCAGCACAAGGCAGACCCACGTATAGACCAACTCTGCTGTAATGAATACTGCATGTTTGAGCATTTATCAGTATGGCGAGGCCAGCATTTGTGCGTGGCGTTGATCCTAGGCAGACAGCCAGTACAGAACCATCTGGAGAAAAGGCCATGGAAGCGGCACTCAAACGATCAACAACGTCCACGTTCAAGTAGCTCTTGAGGTCTATGGTATTTCGGCATTTCCATGTTTCTACCGGCTGTGCTGAATCATGTGGCTTCAGGCCACTGCGCTGCCTAATACTCGCACACCAGAATCGTAGAACCGAATCCGAACCAATAGTGGCGAATTCATGGCTGTGTTCTCTTACAGCAAGGCGTAGAACACGAGAAGGTCCGTTATTTGTGAAATGAGGGCTATCAATTCGTGTGACCAGTTCCCATACACTGGAAGAGCTGCTCCATCTCCAGAATTTCAAAAAGATATCCTCAGAGCCTTCGAGTTCGCGGTGAAAACCAGTCTCATCGCGATAGAGCGCCTGCAAATCTTTTGAGTAAGGACTCCAATTGTCGACTGTAGCCATCCACTTTCCATCCTTAGAAACACACAGGTGGCTAACATCTGGAGTGACTATATGTGAGCCTTCAGGGCCGACCTTTAGCGTGGTGGCATTGGTGCGTGCTAGAGCTTGTCGGGAAACATGGCGGTTCGTGCGAATATCATAAGTTTGTAACACGGATGCAGTTGCCAACGGCTGGCCATCTTGAGTCAATTGACGAGATGCTGGAACGGTTATAAGAAGGTGATCAGGATTCTGCGGGTGCAATGCGGCAGCGATAGTGTCAGGTGAGACGCCGGTTTTTTCAGAAGTATTTTGGAGCAGATTCTTCTCCTTTGGGCATAGTTGTAAGCCTGTAATGGTCGAAGAGGGCTGTAATTCTCGCGCCGACAGGACTGTGATGGAATTGTCGGCCAGCTTGACAGCATATGAGTTTCCACTTGTAGAGACGACTATATTGCCTATGGGCGAGGAGAGGTGAGGAAGAAATTGCTTTCTACCCGTGTCTAACTGCCAGAGGACCATGACTGATTCATTACCACCTGATATAATGTAATTGCCTATAATATGGAACGGTCAGCGAGCATTCTGAGGGTATCGAATGCTAGGGATGATATACCGTCCCTAGACCAACGCACACTATTCACAGAACTTCTGTGCCAGTGTAGCCGCCTGGGCGTTACGTTCTTCCCACCTTGACGACCGTCGTCGTCGTCGAAAAAACGTAATATATCATGGTATACCAAAATAGACCCGTCTAATGCCCCAAAGCCTATGTCGATCTTGCCGAGAGACCTCTGATCTTTAGGACTCTGCACTCCAGGTCGATGTGAAATTGTATGAGGTCGAACGTCAACGCACACGACGCTGACAGAATGATTCATCTCTCTCCATGTATATTGAAGAGGTCTCGACGACTGACCGATGCTAGTACGGCCGAAGAAAACATGCTGATCGCCATGCGCAATAACAAACTGACCTTTGCATGCGACTCTGAGATGGTTTATCTGTACATTAGTCTCGAGTATCGTATTATCCTGCAGCTCGGCGTCGTTTAAGTGTCGTACTACTATCTGCCGTTTTCCATCGTTGTGTTCGCGCAAGAAAAACAGGGAATCGGCCTCGGAATCGTCAAGACACACGTCGACGGAGACTGTCCTGTAGCAGGCATCCCAATAGGAACACTGTTCGCCAGAAAGCCAATCCCACTTGCTAACGGAGCCGCTCGATGCGATGATATACAAACATTTCGGGTCTTCTGGGGAAAGCTTGAATCCAACTATCCTATCTCCATCGTGTAATTGAAGAGCACGGAGAAGACGGGAGGTTGCAAGCGAGTAGACATGAACTGTTGTCTCCAGTCCAAGCAGGATATACCTTATCAACATGTTTAGCATTCTCATCACGCAGAAATCAGGGCGTAATCCTTACTCGTCATCGGGCGTAAATATTGGGTCCAGGTTGCTATACTGACCCGCAGCAACGCTAAAGGAAGACCATGAGCCGAGTGGTATGTCTCCTTTGTGTATGGTATCACTTGAAGCGGCTAGTTTCTGCGGATCGCTAACCATATTGCTATCTTTCTGGGCGGTAATCGATACATTGACTTCTTCTCTAGCCTGGTTCTTGCTATGGGAGGTACGACGGCGCTTGACACGCGCATCATCACTTTGCATCGTCTTCCCTTGCGCCGCATCGGCAGCTCGGGATCTCTTTGAGAGTCGCCCTAGGTTGTGGGACATTGGTGTTGCCATGTAGAGAGAAATATGTACCTAGACAGAGAATGGTGGGGATTCAAGGATACTTTGGCAAGTAGCAGTAACGGGGTGCAATTCTAGCCATCTGTGGGTAGCACAGTGGACAAGGATAACAATCTCGTGCAAAAAAAGTCCTGCTCTTGCGAAATTTCCATCTTTCTTTTTTTCCCTGTCGGGTGCGGTCATTCCTCATAAGGATTAGCGGTATTTATTATTGTTACTGATGTACATACTACATTATGTAATTGTCCAAGGTAGTTAACTAGCAGTTACAGAGGTACTGTTGTGTATCCAGGCGGTAATGATGTTCTGGATGCTATGGTTACTGCAGGAAGGCAGTGCTTGTCCACTGATAATTATACTGAGGTTATTCACACATAACAAATTTCATGTAAAGTGATGATCCCTTGATTCTTACTAGAAGATGAGAATACGGGAGGTGAGGTTACCTAGGCCACTGCCTACTGACAACCTTATGAGGCAAGCACTCGTTACGGCAAGACCAACCCTCCTTCTCCTCACCGCCCCTGGCAGTACCTAAAGAGTAGGGACTAATACTAACGTACTATCCACCTAAGGTAACCAAGGTGCGTTCGGTATCTTAGCAGTACTTAGTCCCTTAGTGGCGAGAGGATGAAGTTACGGTAATTGGATACAAAGTTCAGCCAATCATTGAGCATCTCACTTAACCTACCACAGGTTAATACTGTGGGTCTGGGCGTGCCACCAACAGTAATACTGGCTAAGTACTCTGTAGTACGTAGGTAGTACCTTACCTTAGTACCGGTACCTGCAGTATTCCTAGACAAAAACTGTTTAAGGTCAGGAAACCCTCATTTTGTCGGTTCATCGCTCTTCTCCAACTCGTCGCCTAGCAAGATTAGTACTGCCCCGAGGCAACTTTAATCGAAATGATTATTCCCGTCCGCTGTTTTTCCTGCGGAAAGGTGTGTGAGATTTAAAGTCTTACCTTTGCTTCGCTAATCACGTGAATTGAGTATATAGGTCGTCGGAGATCTTTGGGAGCGTTATCTTCAACTTCTCGATGAAGGTATTCCGGATGGGTATGATTCCCTATTCGCAATCATATCGACGATATAATTCTGACCCGTACTTTCAAGTGATGCTATGGATCAGCTTGGCTGCAAGCGGTATTGTTGTCGGAGGATGATTATGACTCATGTTGATCTGATAGAAAAACTTCTTCGGTAAAAGCCCGCAGCGTCCCAAATGGAGCGAGATTGAAACTTACGTTGTGAAAAGGTATAATCCCACAGAGAGAGATAGAGCGAAGAACCAAGTATGATTCGAGCTCAACTGCATTTACGGCCAAGTCATCCAATGCCGCCTTCTTTCGCCTTGTCTAGGTACGGCCACAGTCTTTCCTATCCTTTGCGAAGTACGGGGTTACTTCCTTGTGTTGGAAATATCAACCGGTGCATACATGCACTGGAGTTGCAAGGCCCATTTACTGGCGTCGGTGTTCTCTAAGCAGCAGTGCGTTCCATCTTTGCTGCTTTTTCCATTATTCTCTTTACATCGGTTAATCCTCTTTTTCAACTAAACCTTTTGGAAGGTCTGGCGTATAGTTTTTTCGGTTGTTTACCTATATTATTCAAAAACATTTCTTTACATTTTGGTGGGAGTTCCATCTGGCATTGAGCGTTATAGCCTGCGCTGTTTAGTGCCCTGGCAGTTTCTAGTAGTATCATTACTCTAGGGGTGATCAAGGTGTCTTGTCCGGTAAGAGTGGGTAATCTCATAAAAATATTAACGATATACATCAGTCCAGGTATATGCCACGGACAGCGCCTAGAAGCAGCAGAGACAGTAGCTATATAAGAAAAAGTCTTGGGCGAGCGATTGACACTTTAGCCAATCAGATTAGTCCGTAACTGTTACTGTCGCCTCTAATATGCTCTGGGGTTGCATCTATTGAGACCCCGAAAGCTTCATACAACTGGCCGTTGGACTACTAGCCATTCTTGGCCGTGTCTAGCTAGTCTATATAGCGCTGTAAGGATTGTAGGCTGCTTGACTAATTATATAATATAGTTATAAAATCTAGCATAACTAAAATATCCTATTATCTTAATTACTTTATTTGTGCGAATCAAATAAGTATTTGTTTTATAATTTTAAGATAGGGTACTTGTTTAATAATAAGATTATTGTAGTACATTTTAACAGGTAATCTAGATATCCTCACGCTCGTGGCGTAATCAGTATCTGCGTGGATAAAATCTATCTGTGTGATTTTAATATATCTGTATGGCTTTTGCAAGAACAGCAATCCCTACAATATCTGTGAGATATATATATCTTGTCTGATCAAGATCCTGATCAAGATTACTCTCTATTATATTCTATTTCTTATCCGGACTTTATCCTGCTGGCGGCGACTATCCTGGCTTTTATTCAGATTGTATTATAGTTTATACTGGCAGTAAATATGTGATTTATATAAGTTCTTTAAATATATAAACTATATATTTTTTATAAATATATCTATTTATAAAAAAAGATTTAATTGATAAATCAATAATAATATAAGTAATATTATATATAAGAATAGTAATCCTTATAATACTTATAATATACTATATTATAAGAAATATTTATATTATAAAAATAATTTCTTATAAAGTAATTATACTAGTATAGTATATAATTTTAAAAATTCTTATAGATATATTTATTTATAAAATATACTAGAAAAAAGACTAGTAATAATATTTTAAATAATATAAATATTATCTTAATTTTATAATAAATATATTTTTTTTATATTATTTTAATATATATCTTTATAATCTTATTACTTAAAATCTATAAAATTATTTATTAAAATTATATTTATATAAAATATTAGATATTATATTTATAAAAAACTTTTTAATTTTTTAAGATTAATTATAAAATTATTACAGAGAAAATAATTAAAATAAATATAATTTTATTTTATTTTTAATTTTTTTATAAATAATTAAATATATTTTAATAAAAAAAAAAATTAGAGCAGAGATATAAAATTAATATGAATAATAAAAAAATTTATAAATCTTTAAATAATTTTAATATTTTATTTATAAAATTAAAAAAAACTAATATATATATATATATATATAATAAAATAATAAATATTATAATACTTATAATTATATTATTTTTTAATTATTTATTATTTAATAAAAAGTAATTATAAAGATTAATAACTAGAATAAAAATTAATAAATATAAATTATAATAATCTATTTAAATTATATATTTAATAATTTATAAAAAAAATAAAGCTGTAAAGCGTTTTTAAAAAAATAATTAAATAAATTTTTATAGATTTTTTTAAAATATAACTAGATAATTTAAAAAGTTATAAATAAAAAATATAATTATAAATTCTAAGAATAAAGTTTTATAAAAAAAAAGAACTTTATATATTTATAATATTAAAAAAAATAAAAACAAAATTAAATTATAAAATATAAATATTAAATTTTATATAATTATATTTATTTTTTAAATTATTTTTATAAAGTATTAAATAAAAGATTTGTAAACAGTCAGAATTTTTTTATTATTAAATAAAATCTGATTATATTATTTATAAAATTAAGATTAAATATTAACTAATAAAATAAGAAGATTAATTATATATAAAAAAAATTATTATTTACAAATTAAATAAAATAATCTAATAGTTAGAATTATTATAAAAGATTTTTATAAAAAAGAATTTATAATTAAATATATTAAATATATTTATTCTATAAGATTCTATATTAATATTCACAACAATAATAAAATATTTTAATTATAAAAAATAAAATTATATAATAAAGAATTATTATTAATAAAAAAAAATTTTTTTAAGAAATATCTTATTATTTAGATAAATTATAAAAAATTAATAAATAAATTTTTTATAATATATTCTATTCTTAGATTATAAGAGTAATTATTTATATAGAATAAAATTGATCTATTTAAAAAAATTAATATTTTGATTAATATAAAAATAAAAATAAATCTGATATTTATAATATTAAGAAATATTATAAAATAATTAATAATATTTATAAAGATTTTTATAAGATTACTAAATAATAGTACTATTTAATTAGACAAAATTATAATATTTAAAATAAATTTTATAAATATAAAAAATAATTATAAGATTTATAAAGAAATTATTATTATAATATCTAATATAAAAAGAATATATTAAATATATTATAAATCTAAATAAAGATCTTGATTATAAAATTTAATTAGTATTATTTAAGATTTTACAAGAAATAATAAATCAAGATATATTATATTATTATAACAGAGTTTCTTATAAAAAAATTAAAGATTAAATAATTATAAATTATAATAATTAAATTTATTTATAAAGAAATAAATATAAAAATATTTTATATATAAATAGATTTAATATTTAAAATTATTTATTAAAATATTAGTTCTCTTTATAAAAAAAATAAAGATTTATAAATATATATTGATTATTATAAGCTAAATAAATAATTTATTAAAAATTAATATTTATTATTATAAATTAATAATTATATTAAATAACTTATAGAAATATTATAATTTATATAACTTAATTTTTATAAAATTTATTATAAAATAAGAATTATAGCAGACTATAAATAGAAAATTATTTTTTAAATAAAATATAATTTATTTAAATATATAATTATATTATTCAGACTAACTAATATATTTATAGAATTTTAAGAATTTATAAATTTTTTCTTTATAAAATATCTAGATAATTTTATAATTATTTATCTTAATGATATTATAATATACTTGTAAGACATCAATCTAGGGGAGTTGTTATTACTGAGCCAAAAGACTAATATTATCTATAGTTATCTATAGATCTCTAGAATCTTATATATATATTTAGATATATCTAAAAAAAGATAGACTTTATTCTTATAAGTATATATATCCTATGGATATTATCTCTTATAACTATCTTTCTCTCACAGACTCTCTCTGGCCCACACAGTGGCTCTCTGGCTAATCACAGGCTCTCTGGCTAATCACAGGCTCTCTAGCCCTCAACTAGGCACTCTGGCCAATCACAGACTCTTAGAGTGGCTTAACCTGACTGTTATATCTTAATCTTAACCTGACTATAATCTAATAATTAGATTAAAAGATAAAAATTTTTTAATTATATAATTAAGATTAGATTAAGATATAATTATTACTATAATTATTTATAATTTATATCTATTAATTAAAAAGATTAGATATAATAAATAAATTAATAATTATAAATTAATTTATAATATATATATTTTTTTTATATAGATAATATATAAAATATAATATATATTTAATTATAATATAAATATAATAATATTCTTTAAATATAATTTATTATTTAATTTATTTAATTAATTATTTTAAAAAATATATTATATTCTAAAAAAGACTTTTATAAAATTTAATATAAAAAAAATAAAATAAAATATAAAATATTTATTTTTTATACTATTTAAAATAATAATTATAATAATATAAAATTATAAAAATCAGATCTCTATCTTTATCTAAATATATATAATAATTAAAGACTTAAATAAAATTAATTTTTTTAATTTTAATAATAATCTATTCTTTAGATTATTTTTAAGATTATTTATATTTTTATTTTTATTAATATAAAAAATAGTAATTATCTTATTCTTTTTTTATTTCTTAAATATAAAGATAATTAAATCTAAATTAAGATTATTAAATATATTCTAATATTTCTTATTTATAATAAAATAATTAATATATATTTAAAATATAATTATTTTAATTATATTAAAATAAAGACAGCTCTAATAATAATAATAAATATTTTAAAAAATATTAAAAAAATATTTAATATTAATATTATTAATTATAATTAAGAGAAAATCTTTAATTATTTAATAAAAAATAAAAATTAATTATAGCAGGATTTTTAGTAAATAAAAATATTAATATATTTTATAATATTTAAAATTATATTAATTTAATTAAAGATATTTTAAGAAATTATATATTCTTAATATCTAGATATATTTTAAATTTTTATATATTTTAATTATAAGTAAGAGTTTCTGATATTTAAAAATATTATAAAAAATCTTATCTAGATCTAATAATAATTTAGAGATTATTAATAATATATTAATTATTAAATTTTAATTATAATAAAAAAGAATATTTTTTTAAAAATAGTTTAATATTTATAATATTAATTAATTATATTATTTAATTATATATTTTTTTTAAACTTCTTAAGCTTTAATATAAGATTTAGAATAATTATAATTATATAAATATAGTTTTTTATTTAATAAATATAATAATAATATTTTTAGAGCTTCTAAT